TCACTCACTCACTCACTCACACTCACACTCTCACTCTCACTCTCACTCTCACACACACTCTCTCACACACTCACTCACTCACTCACACACACACACTCTCACACTCACTCACTCACACTCTCACTCACACTCTCGCACACACACACACACACACACACTCACACACTCACTCACTCACAGAGCAAGACTTGAGGAACCCTGCTGTAAACAAAGCAGCTGCTCTACTTTTAAACAGCCATTCAGATTTGTGTGTTTGCTCTGATGTTCATCACAGCACCAAATACTTAAATATTTAGACTTAATAGGCAATTTATTTTAAAACTTTTTTTACATTTTAATCTGGACTACAACATGCGCTAGATATTGTCTGAAAGTGTTTTGATTCTTTATTGTTCGGTCACACTTTACATTAGCTCTGTGTGTCTCTGCAGGTGTCCTCGTTCCTGGTGATCGGGCTGATGTCGATGATGATTCCTCTGTGTCATGTGTTCGGTGGACTCATTGCCGTGTGTCTGCTCATGGGTCTGTTCGACGGATGCTTCATCTGCATCATGGCTCCCATCGCGTTTGAGCTGGTGGGCTCCCAGAACGTGTCGCAGGCCATCGGCTTCCTCCTGGGCATGATGTCCGTCCCCATGACCGTCGGGCCTCCCATCGCAGGTAATGCCACCCACTGACAGAAGCTGGTACTGCGTCACTGAGCCCTCAGACGTTCACACGCATGCACTCAAAAGAGGCCAGCCACACAATAACATTACAAACGATCAACACGTCTCGTGAGACTCTTACAAACACACACACTTCCTGATCCATTGCCATGTGGATTCTGTGTAAATCTGAATGACTGAGAAACTCACAGACACATTATTCACTGTGAAAGCTTTGGTAATAATGTTAATTGGTTAACTTACTAAAAAATTAATTTATGATACATTTCACTGTAAAATCTGTAAACTGACATTCCCAGAATCCTCATTACGTTTCATGATTTTTCAAGGAATTAGCTTTTTTTCTTAGTTTTTGTCATCAGTTTTGTACATTAGGTTTTTATGTTACATTTCATGTTGTTAAATGAATTATTATTGCATTATTTTAGTTTAGTTCATCATGTGTTTTACCATGATGGTGTTTATGGTTTGTTTGAACCATATTTGTGACGAGCTTTGATTCGTCACGTGTCATTCTGTTTTAAGGTGGTTGTCGGTATATTGTAAACATGGGCGACATTTGACTCGTGAGTCAGGGGGGGCAAGAAAAAAAAATATATATATGTGTTTTTTTTCCGGATGTAAGCATCAAAACAATGCCCTACCGTATTGCTGCGCATCAAAGCAGTCAATCCAACACAGTCAAGAATAACTTAAAGTGGTTGCCACCGTTTAGTAAATTGTGGACTAGTTTTGGCTCTTTCTGCTGACTTGAATGGTGATGCTTCCCGTTTGTCAGTTGTTGGCCTTTCATTTTGAACCAGAAATGTGCACGCTGCTTTTCTGATGTTCACTGAAGTTTTCCGTGTCTTTTTCCCGTGTCACTTGAAATGTTTTGAATCGTTGTTACCAAAGGTGAGACACGTAAGGAAAAAATAAACGATCAGTTGTGGGACTATATTCTGTCATAAATCGCATACCATTCATTGCTGACCTTTCTACCGTCCGTTACTGGAAATGAAATGAAATTACTGGTTGATGTGTCCCGATCTCAATAAAGTTTACACATGCTTTTGGTTCGTGAATTAGATCTCGCTCGGGACGCGCTGTCTGTGGAGGTTTGGCCAGGACCGGTTCCAGAATTAAATCAACATATTTTATGTTCCGTCCATTGCCAATCACTGCTATTTCAAGAGTGAATCCCACATAAATATGCGGATGTCATTCCCGAAACTTTGCAGGGTGCCTATGTGTCCAAAAAACGAAAGTTTCATACAAATTCTGAATGGATTATACCCTAGAACAGTGGTTCTCAAACTTTTTACAGTGGCGTACCCCCGGGACATTTAACGTTCTTCTGCGTACCCACTCTCATCCACTTAGACCGCAGTCACACCTTTTCTATTAAAGGACAATATTTGCACGCTTAACTTGATTTACAGGTGCATTTTTTACCTTTATAGAGACAAAGATTTTCTATCCTTATTAATTGTAGCCTATGTCATGTTTTATGTCATATTCTTAACATTTCATTAAGTGTATTATTAATATTATAAATACAACAATATTTTTTTAATAAAGCAATAAATGATGGCAAATCGAAGTGATACTTGTAGATTTAAAAATAAAACCATCAATAGGTGGCGGCAAGTCGCTGTCTTAATGAGCCAGGCGCCGCGTCATTCATTCATTCATTCATTCATTCATTCATTCAGTAACAAAGCAAATGCTGTAGTTATGAATGGGTTATTAATCACTGACTCTCCGAATCATTCAAAGCCGCAGATCCGTTCACTAATGAAACACCGCTGTATGTTGCTTGGAGCTACACCAGATGATACGGATTTCGTTGGAACTATTATTTAGTTGCAAAATAGAACAAACATGACAATATTCTGTTTAAAATGTAGGCTACATTTGAAATGTAAAATGTTCACTTAATATTACCTTTTTTGTTGAACAGTTTTTTTTTCTTCTGAACAATTGTCAGATTTGCCATCGTTTGGATATTCAGGGAAAATTGCATTCTTGCTCGTATCTTAAACATGAACACAATAACTCGCACAGGGTATGTGTCTGTATCGAAGAGAGTTTAAATCGATCTCAATGTAGGCTACAGTGCGTGTCAATATTTGCTCTTCATGCTATTAAGTGAAGATCTACTTTAAGATACGTTGAACAGTAGCGTGATTTGCTAAAGCTGCATATTCAGCGGGCATCCTATCACATGCTGCTTGTGTGGATGCAGTCAGTTTTGACCGCAAAAGATGAGGTAAGCTGATTGGATGTCATGTATTTTGACCGTTTACGGCACTCCCATTTTCCTGTTTTTACATTTTGCTTGTCAGAAATACACGTTCGGTTTTAATGTTACTTTAAGTTGGGGTAGAATTAAATGAATGCCAAAACTCAGAATTTTGTTTGCGTACAACCTATGTCACCTCACGTACCCCCAGTTTGAGAACCACCACCCTAGAAAGTGCGCAAAGCACCCTTTATCACTAAAAAGCGTCACTCATCTTCATTCATCGTGATCTTACAAAGTTCCGTTATAATCAATGAAGCTCTCTAAACTGCACAATGAATCTCTTATTTACATCGCATCTGCACTCAGTCATGAGATGATTCACGAGCGTGCAAAACTGCGACGCTTTCAGCGGTGAGTGAATTCTGACAAAACGTTTCTGATTGGCCATTGTGTTTAAGAAATCAACAGATATCTGTGATTGGTTACATTGCTCAACGCTGCAAAAAACACGTTGAGGGTATTTAGCGCTTGGCTAAGCGCTCCAATTACATCAGGCCGACATCAGGGATTCCATTACTAACAATTTGGGGGGGCAATTGTCAATATGATTATTGACAGATGAATTATTGATTCAATTCAAATTTGAATTTTGAATTTTTTTCTTTTTACTGTAAATCGAAGTTCTAAAAGTTAGTACTTGGGCACTAATAAAGTTAGGTGAAAGTTGAACTACACTTCAGTGTGAAACAGACACACGACTCAATTATTCAAGGCATCTTTACAGCCAAATTAATGCGGCTCTGTGCCTGATCAAAATTCAGTGTAAAGACATAATGCAGCATAATAGCCAAACTAAATAGTATCATCTCAGATCCTAGTATTAAGGTAGACAGTTGCAATTGCTGTGAACATGCGTTTATGCCACTTCTGAACAGTTTCAAATGACACCTGAATGTGTGAATTCTGTGCCACTTTTCATTGTACATTTTTCATTAGTTAATTTACAACATCGTAACGTAACTCAGTTAAAGCTGCTCTGTGCCTGCTCAACATTCGATGTAAAGATGCAATGCCGCATAAAAGCTGGACTAAATTATGCCAGCTTAGAGCCACCTCAGCCACTAACCGGCTGGCACACAATGCCATAAGACGTTGATATTTGGTTAAACTTTGGTTGTGATATCAGGTGACCAAAATTCAATGTCAATTCAACATCTAATGTCAATGTTAAATTGATGTCCAATACCGACGTCAGTTGATGTTGATATTTGTTGTTTTTAGGTTGTGTAACCAAAATCCAACGTTAAGTCAATGTCAAATTGGCGTCAAATACTGACGTCAACCCGATTTTCATTCTCAACCAAAAAGCATCGTCTGTCTGACATCATGTCCAGCGTAATCCTGACGTTATATCGACGTCTACAACCTATGTCACCTCACGTACCCCCAGGGGTACCCCAGTTTGAGAACCACCGCCCTAGAAAGTGCGCAAAGCACCCTTTATCACTAAAAAGCGTCACTCATCTTCATTCATCGTGATCTTACAAAGTTCCGTTATAATCAATGAAGCTCTCTAAACTGCACAATGAATCTCTTATTTACATCGCATCTGCACTCAGTCATGAGATGATTCACGAGCGTGCAAAACTGCGACGCTTTCAGCGGTGAGTGAATTCTGACAAAACGTTTCTGATTGGCCATTGTGTTTAAGAAATCAACAGATATCTGTGATTGGTTACATTGCTCAACGCTGCAAAAAACACGTTGAGGGTATTTAGCGCTTGGCTAAGCGCTCCAATTACATCAGGCCGACATCAGGGATTCCATTACTAACAATTTGGGGGGGCAATTGTCAATATGATTATTGACAGATGAATTATTGATTCAATTCAAATTTGAATTTTGAATTTTTTTCTTTTTACTGTAAATCGAAGTTCTAAAAGTTAGTACTTGGGCACTAATAAAGTTAGGTGAAAGTTGAACTACACTTCAGTGTGAAACAGACACACGACTCAATTATTCAAGGCATCTTTACAGCCAAATTAATGCGGCTCTGTGCCTGATCAAAATTCAGTGTAAAGACATAATGCAGCATAATAGCCAAACTAAATAGTATCATCTCAGATCCTAGTATTAAGGTAGACAGTTGCAATTGCTGTGAACATGCGTTTATGCCACTTCTGAACAGTTTCAAATGACACCTGAATGTGTGAATTCTGTGCCACTTTTCATTGTACATTTTTCATTAGTTAATTTACAACATCGTAACGTAACTCAGTTAAAGCTGCTCTGTGCCTGCTCAACATTCGATGTAAAGATGCAATGCCGCATAAAAGCTGGACTAAATTATGCCAGCTTAGAGCCACCTCAGCCACTAACCGGCTGGCACACAATGCCATAAGACGTTGATATTTGGTTAAACTTTGGTTGTGATATCAGGTGACCAAAATTCAATGTCAATTCAACATCTAATGTCAATGTTAAATTGATGTCCAATACCGACGTCAGTTGATGTTGATATTTGTTGTTTTTAGGTTGTGTAACCAAAATCCAACGTTAAGTCAATGTCAAATTGGCGTCAAATACTGACGTCAACCCGATTTTCATTCTCAACCAAAAAGCATCGTCTGTCTGACATCATGTCCAGCGTAATCCTGACGTTATATCGACGTCTGTGCCTGCTGGGTAGTATCAAACACAGCTGTAATTGCAGTGTAAATGCATTCATGCCACCTCTGAGCAGCATTACAGCGTCTGTGTAAAGACTCCTAAATATCAGTGTAAAGGTCTTTGCACACTGAGTCCGAAATTTTTGTATGCGTTTTTCGTATTTGTCAAAAAATTTGTCATGCACAGAAACCTTGCACACTGAATCCAATGCATATTAATTAATCCGTAGCGAAAAAATTGTGTGGATGATTTTGTTGTCCTCTATCTTGGATGGACCCAATATTTCCTCTTTCTTTTTCTCTTTTAATGAGGAAATATTGGGTCCATCCAATCCAGAGATTGTGTAGAGAGAAAGGAGAGTTCCATCTCCTTATCAAGGAGCTGCGGGATTATCCAGAGCGATTCAAAGTTTATATTTATATATTACTATTTACATTCCGTCTATTCCACACTTTTTTTGTCATACAGTGCTTTGTGCTGCGAGACAAAGTGGATCAACTTGCCATTCTGGATTTTGGCGTTCGCTTGTACGGTGGCTCTGAATTTTCAAAACACGTCTCAAAATGCTTGCTACGGATGCGAAAAACGCAAAAAATCGAACCCGATCTGAATTTTTTTATTACGGACGAACATTTTTGGAGGCAGTGTGTAAAAGTGATTGACATAATGTGAGGTCGTATTTATTTTTTAAAGGGGTCATGGGATGCGACATGCACTTTTACAAGTTGTTTGAACTGAAATGTGTGTTGGCAGTGTGTGTTCACAACCACCCTATAATGATAAAGATATCTCGTACCCCTTTCTCAGATCAAGCCGTTCTAAGATGCCTGTGTGTGTGACGTCACACAGACAGGCCCCTCCCACGATAGTTTGATTGACAGTAGCGTTTCAGCACAGACTGGACTGGTGTCTCACCTTAGCTCCACCCTGAGTGACTGTCATCAGTCCGCCATTGTTTCACCGCCGGAGCAGATGTAGACAAGAATGGCTCCTGAGCGATTGAGGTGTTCTGTTGTTGGATGTAATAATGAACAGCAGTCGTCATTTACTCCCGACATCTGAGCCGCTGAAGACGCAGTGGATTACATTTGTTTCTGAAGGGAACGCGCCCCCGATCTACATAAATGTGTTTGTGTTTATGTTCTCACAAATCATTTGTGATCCAGCTTCATCTACAGAAGAAGTGAGTATAAGTTTTTAACAAATCTTTGCAAATCACCTTTCCTAATAATGTGCTAGTTAGCAAGTTTCACGATGAACGCAGCTGAAGCTAAGAGTCTCTCAGAGAGTGGCTCGGAAGAGAGGGGCGGGGTCAGCAGAGCTCATTAACATTTAAAGCGGCATGCAATAAAACAGCTTGCTGTGAAAAGAGCTGTTTTTGACAGGGTAAAAACTGTGTTTTTTTACACTACCATTGAGAAATTTTAAGCTATGTTACAGACTTTTCATTAAGACCCTAAAGAATCATATCAACTTGTGGAAAATGGGCATCTGATGACCCCTTTAAAGTGCGAAAATTTTGGGCGAGAATTTCGGACTCAGTGTGCAATGGCCTTAAATCTGGCGTAGCTGAGCCGGTCGTCTGTCTGGTTTTGTGCGCAGGGTTCCTCAGAGACCGTCTGGGCAGCTATGACGTGGCGTTTTACCTGGCAGGCATTCCTCCGATCATCGGCGGGGCCATGCTGTGCCTGATCCCGTGGGTAGAGGCGCGGAGAAGGAGCAAGGAGGCGCAGCCGGTGACTGAAGCCACCGAGAAGATGCTGGAGAGCAAGAGCGGCTTGCAGGTCGAGGTGAAGCCAGAAGAGCCCGAGTCCGTCATCTGAGAGTGTTTACAGCGGACAGACAGACATGTGTGTGTGTGTGTGTGTGTGTGTGGAGAGTCCTGATGTGATTTTCTATTCCTGCAGGAACATGCAGACCGGGCATAAAACAGGGCTTCTCCACCTATGTGATTTATGAGCTATGCATCTCTCAGAAAGTTTCCTTGAATATTTTTGTACTGAGCTTCTGGCCTTTAAAAGGGAAGTGAAAGTAAGACAATCGTCGGTTAAGAAGGGAAGGTGTTTGCTGGTGCTTCGACGGGTGTAGCCCTGAGAGAAGAATCAAGGGATTTTATTTTGACCCGCGTTTCCTTTACTATTATAATCTAGCTATGCATTGCTTTATCAGACTATATGAAGCCGCTCATATATTGTGTTAAAGGGAACGACAGCTGTGCCATATGTAATCATTTCCTCCTGAGCTTGGAAGATTCGAAAGACGTTTTTGTGAATGCTCACTTCAGCTGTGAGTGTTTATTAGAGGAATCGTCGCTGCATGGCGACAATGTTTTTATATGCAATTATCAAAGATGTTTATTTTCACTGAGATGTGTGTGTGTGTGTGTGTGTGTGGAGAGTCCTGATGTGATTTTCTATTCCTGCAGGAACATGCAGACCGGGCATAAAACAGGGCTTCTCCACCTATGTGATTTATGAGCTATGCATCTCTCAGAAAGTTTCCTTGAATATTTTTGTACTGAGCTTCTGGGCTTTAAAAGGGAAGTGAAAGTAAGACAATCGTCGGTTAAGAAGGGAAGGTGTTTGCTGGTGCTTCGACGGGTGTAGCCCTGAGAGAAGAATCAAGGGATTTTATTTTAACCCGCGTTTCCTTTACTATTATAATCTAGCTATGCATTGCTTTATCAGACTATATGAAGCCGCTCATATATTGTGTTAAAGGGAACGACAGCTGTGCCATATGTAATCATTTCCTCCTGAGCTTGGAAGATTCGAAAGACGTTTTTGTGAATGCTCACTTCAGCTGTGAGTGTTTATTAGAGGAATCGTCGCTGCATGGCGACAATGTTTTTATATGCAATTATCAAAGATGTTTATTTTCACTGAGAAATAACAGTTGAGGAAACAGCTTTAATGCACAGAGCAGATAGACATGATGACGCAAGCAGATGTTTTATGATGCCGTCCCAGTGCTTTGTATTGAGTGTTGTGTTTTATGATCGAGGAACACTGCTCTGGAACGTTTACAGGATGGTTTCCATGTGTTTTTGCCTAACCAGAGCAGATCTCAGTGTTTGACATGAACTGGGATAGTTGCTCTTTGAAATACTATTTTTTAACGATGTTTTAAGAATCTGTGGTTTCTGTTGGTTAGATCGAGCTGACATTGTGAGCTCAGCTTTAATAGCCACGCTCACATTTACTGCCACTGAGGCCTTGACTGAAAAAGCACATATGCAAAGTCCTTTGCTTTAATTCAGCGACTGAATGTGAATGTCCTCTGATTCCTAGTCACATGAAACAGTGTTTTCACAGTGTCTGGAGGTGATGTAAACGTCCCGCTGTTCTCTCACAGAGTGATCCATAGGAGTGTTAATCTGGTCCCGTGATCTACCTCAATTAACATGATTCTGGAAATATCAGCGGATCAGAGAAGGGAATAACGATGGCCACCAAGTGCTCATACGTCATACCTATCCCATGTTGTGTTTCTTTAGTTTTATATATCTAATATCAACTAGCATTATAAGTGCCTTGACAATATTATTATTGACAGATGAATTATTGATTTGTGTGGAATCTTAACCAGTGGCACAACCAACAGCTTCCAAAGCAAGTATTCGACTCATTTCAGTACGACACAAACACATTTCACAGGAAAAGCAACCTCAGCAGCAATACGTGCCGAGAGGCGTCTGTCTGTTAAATCTGTTGGTTTATTATTTTTAAACCATTTCCATGTTTTTGAGAAGATTATCTATTTTTTACTTTTTGTAAATGTTCTTTTTTTTGCATTTTATTTTATTTTTTTAAATTTATACTGTTCAAGTAAATCATTGTTGTACACCAAACCAGAGACGGTTTTGCTGCACGCACACACACACACACACACACACACACA